AAGGTTCTATGCTTGTGGAATATTACAATACATTTTTAAAATTTCAAGATAAACAGCTAACCTCAAACTTGGTAGCGCAATTTATTATTATTGAGTTAAAGGTGTTCCAATTACCTTAGCAATCAGTTATAGACCGAAAAGAGAAATTCTAGACAGATTTCCGACTGAAAAATTGGTATGTTTAGTGATCTTTACTCATTACGCCTTAAAAAGATTGTCACAAAATATTCTCTTTATATTTTAGGAGTACTATCGTTCCACCAAGCGAAGAAGAATATACAGGAAATTTTGCAATTTTTATAAACTAAGTCTGTGGTTGGTAAACATGTTGTTGATGTAACAGCAAAAAAAAAGTCTTCCAGACATGTCGAAATGCAAAACATTTGGTAAGCTAATTCAAATTACGTTTTATATTTCGTTTATTTATTAATTTTGTGGATATGTGAATAAAATTTGAAGTTGAGTATTGTCTTTTAGAACCCGAGCCTTATGGTTTGATAATTTAACTTCTGAACAATTCAATAACACTTGGAAGGCCTGCAGTAAATATCGTTAAAAAAATTTAAAAAATTTTGGGAATACTGATGCGATAATGGAGAAATGGCCTTTCTATAATATCAATTGGTAGGTATGCGTTATAATTTAATTTTTTAACAATATTATTTTATACTTACAGATCGATATGGATTTTAATGTTGTCTTCGATAATGCAGATGTGCTATTAATTATTTGGAGCAAGAACTTCGACAAGTACCTTGAATTTTTAAGTAATAAAAATAATGATAAAGACAAGAATATTAAAGCTTTTTTTGGAAAACCCAAAGACCAATAATAGTATTTCTAAAAGTAAGTCACATTACCTATTTAAATTTAATTAAAATATATAACCATTTATTTATTGCATACGTATTGATATATTTTCTACTAAAGAAATTTATATTTTTTAACAACATTAGTTTTAATTTTTTAAATATTTTTTGTTTTTTTTTAAGTTTTTCAGCTAGAAGAGCACTTAGACTCAGCGAAGTGATAAAGCGAAAAAAAGTTTTTTTAATTTGCAACAGCTACTCAGAAATGATGTGTGCCAACTTTAATAATGATTATGTGATATATCACATTTAGTTTTTTTCAATAGGTTTAAGTTATATTTGTATTATTTAAAAAAAATAAAAATAAAACAATAAATATATATTTTTTTATTTTTCCTTTGTTGTCAAAAGTCATTTCAAAAATTATTAGTATTTGCAAGTCTATGAAATTCATCATTAACATTGGCAAATTCACAGCAAAGCGCACATGCGGGAAATGACAGAAAAAATTTGTTGGTGTGGTGATCGAACCCACGTTAAGGTTTTTTCTGTCTTTTCCAACTTGTCTCTAAAAATGAGTTAGTCAAAAATGACTAATTTAAAAGTTATTAGTGGCTGCTTTTTCACTTGTACCATGGTTAACCATGAAATACCATGGTATCCCAAAATTGAACGGCCAATTCTTATGTAAAATTGTCCCCTGAATCTGAAAATGTCGTCAAAAGTTAAAAAAGTAGGACAGTTTTTGAGATATAGTATTTTTGACGGTATTTTCGGATTCAGGGGACAATTTTACATATGAATTGGCTGTTAAATTTTGGGATACCATGGTATTCCATGGTTAACCATGTACAAGTGAAAAAGCAGCCACTAATAACTATTAAATTAGTCATTTTTGACTAATTCATTTTTAGAGAGTAGAATTATTGTATTGATAAATTAAGTTCATTACATTAATAAACTGATTAATTATAACAATTACTAAAAATCATTGTATTGAAAATGTCATTTGTTGCATCAGCTACAATAGTTCGTTAAGAGTATATTTAACGATTACAGTATCTACGAATAAAATTAATTGTAATAATAATTTTTATTCTTTCAAACTATTACTAATATTGATAAGACTAATAAAACAAATACATATAATTAATAACTAACAATTTTCGAATTAACAAAATATAGTTATTTAAGAAATTAATAGTGTTCGTTACAACAATAACATATTTCATTGAATAAACAAAACTAACATTTTCTTTTCAATGAATTGATTTTTATTAATAAAATTAATTATTTATTGGTTAATAAATTCTTTGATCAATTAATGAAATGTGTTTCATTGATTTGATAAAATCGATCGTTGGACCAAAATCAATGTAGCATTTTATCTAGACAATGAACTTTTTTATTGTATTTACGCTACTTTTTGGTTCAGTGCAGGTAGTTTTCACAAAAGAGAGGAAGGCAGAAGTCTTACTCGACAAAATTTGTTCAATTGCACAGCTAAATCGCGCACGTTATTTGTGTTTTACGTTGCAAGGAAAAAATTAAAAAACTTTTTTAGTACTCGATTTCGATTGATTATTCTTTATATCATTAATTAAGAAACTCAAAGCTTAAATGCTTATATAGTTACGTTAGTGTGTGTATTTTATCTAAGGGATCATGATGAATTATTGTGTTTTTAATTGTAAATAAAATTCAAGAACTAAATCGTTGCATTTTCATGTTTTGCCAAAGGATCCAATTCGGTAAGTACATTTGTTGGTGCAGAATTAACTAATGATAATTTTACCTAATATAATTTATAATTAAGTTTGGACATTTTTAAGAAATTAGTAAAAAATAATTTTTGCACAAACATAACCTTAAAATCAACCATATGAGTTCTCTAAAAAACGCCGACAACTACATTTTAAACATCAAAATATACCTACGAATTCATGGCAACATAATATTATATATAATACATAATATAATGGTATTTTACCGTTGAGTGGAGACTTTCTTAATCAACGCTTTTAATAATGCTAAATGCTGTTTAAATTTAGACGACTTATTTGTTTAAAGATTTTTACTGAATTGAAATGTTTACACTTAGGTACAATTTATATTTACAGAGACTGTATGCAATTTATTTCTTCATTCAGATTAACACTGTTTATTGGAAAACCGGTAAAAACTCAACCCAGGATTTTCTTTCGAAATACACCCAACAACACAACAAATCGAGCCACGGTATTTTTTAACATTTTCAGGCTTTATTCTTAAAAACACTCGTTTGTAACATAAGCGTTTTATAGCTGATTACTAAAAGTTGTACTTTTTTTACGATGTTAACAGACAGGGGCTAAATAAATCTAAAAATAAACTCGCTTTCAGTCAAATTATTTTATTAAGCATGATTAAAAAATCAAGCAAAAACGTATAACAATTTCTTAAACTATATTACAATACCATTTATAACCTTTACTTATCTACAATATGTTTCTTTTTCTAACACTTAATTTAACCTATATACAACGTGATCCCATTTCTTTCAATAGGCAGTCTATTGAACTAACTATAATTACATAATACATGTATACAGGGTATGGTACATTTTTATTTGTATTTGTTTATTTTCTTTGTTAAATTATTGCTAGGTTTTTAATATGGTCCCTATATAAGATGCACCATTTTATGAATTTGGCATAAAAAACAATATAAATACTTTTAATAATAATTTATTCAAAATGGTCAAAACACCCTGTATAAGAACTCTCCTTTTTTTAAAACATATATTTAGCACTGACCTAAAAACGTACTATACCCCCTATACATTTTCCATCTCTACATTTATCGAGTTACCACTTTACCTTCTAAAGATTTTTTATATAGTTTATCCTCTATTTTATTTATTTATTCGCTTGATTACATTTTTTTTTAGATTTCGTGCTATTAAAATTTCGGTTTAGTTCATTAATTTAAATTTGTAGACTTAACTGCAAAAGGGGTGTATGTCACATTCATTTATAAAAAGTTGTCTAAGTTAAAAAAATCCAAATTTACTTGTTAATTTTAACAATTAAATAAAAAATCTGTATTTTTTATTTGTGCGTGTTTTATAGTTGCTGTCATTTTAAATATATTACAAAAAAATTATTCACATTTTTGAATGTATAAATACGTTTATTGAAAGGTTTTTTCAAATTTACATTTTATGTATATACAGGGTGCGCGAGTGATAATAAGTTTTTCCCGGAAATTTGAATCACCCTGTGGGTTGTACCAGCCATATATTTTCTTAACATGGTATTTTTTGATTTTTAAATAAGATATACGGTTAAAGACTAAAGCCTGAATTATAGATAGCCTTCCTTCCTTCCTTCCTCCCGTAGAAAATGAACATTACGTAATTGTCACCATTAACATTTCCTGTGTAAGAATTTTTAATACTTGAATTGATAATATTTTGCAATTATAGTAATAAAAAAATCAAAGAATGAAATATTTTCATATTTTGAAGTTATTTTAATATTTTAAAGTATCAATAATTGTTAAGTTTAATTAAAATTAATAACGGGCAATGTTAATGGTGACAATTACGTCAAAAATCTTTATTTAAATCGTAGTGCCATTTATAGATTCCCGTACCGTAAGGACGGCATTCCTTCCTCCTGTAGAAATTTTTAAGTTTTTTATTTCACCGTAAAGGTCTTTGACATGACCAATCACAGTGCTTGTTATGGACATGCGCTGTAGGGTGACAGCGCGTAGGCACAAAATATTTAAGATAGGTGTTCAGTTTATTAAATAATTTGTGTCTCTAAATAGGATATTTAGATATTGTTTATGATCTGTATACTTCTTTTAAAAATAAAGATAACGCGGTGAATAAAAAAACAAAATGTTAAGAGAAGACGGGGCTATAGTTTGATTATAAGAGACATATGCTGTTATAGCTGGTAAAACCCACAGGGCGTTTTAAATTTACAGGAAAAAACTTATTATCACTCTTGCACCCTGTATATAGTCAAAACGTAAATTTGAAAAAATATTTTAATAAAGGCATCATAACCAAAGAATAAACCTACAATTTAAAACCAAAACTACCAAATTCGGTTTAACGGTTCGCGAAAAAATCAATTTTAAAAAAATTAATAAATTGAAAACTATTAACTTTGGAAGTTTTCCAAAAAAACCATGGTAAATTTTCGACTGATTGACGGTACTATTCTGTCAAAAATGGATTGAAGAATATTCGTAAATGTCAAAAAAATACTTGAAATTGTTGAAGTCAGAATATTTTCAGATATTTAATTAAATTTTAATTAATCTTTGTTGTTTTCATATTCGAAATTATATAAAAAAATAATTTTTTTTGTGTATATTTTGTTTGAATGACTACGCTCCTTTTCCACTTAAGTCTATTAATTAACCTATAATGGCACTACGTGTTCTATTTTAAAAATATCACAAATGAATCGTATAATACATAATAATAATAATAAAAACGTGACCAATAATTAACAATTTGTATATAATATTATGGATATAAAATATTACTGAGCCTTTTTGTAAAATATATAATATTTACAATCAGGTAGCTCCTTATTGAATACAAAAATTCATAAGCTTTTTTTCATACGGGATTTTTCGATTTAGGACGATTTTTTTGCAAAATTCATATTTAAAATTTTGTATGAATTACTGGATTTTTTTTATAATAATAGTAGTTTTTGTGTCAACATAAATCGTATTAATAAAATACTATTACTAAAAGCTAATTGTTTTTATAAACTTTATTGTTATTAAATCATAAAATATTTATTATATAGTGTAATAAAAGAAAAATTATTGTCCTATAAAAACGAATTTTATATTTACCAAGGGTTCTAAATTTATTAATAAATTTGGCAGTTATACTTTTATACCAAGTTTTTGGATATTTCTACATAATATGGAAGGATATCAGTCTCAAAAACCATAATATAATAATTTATTTGGCAAATCGGGCAGTCTTGAAAATTTAAGGAAAAATATAAATCACACTTAAATTTTAAATATGAATTTCGTAAGGATTTTTACAAAAAATATGAATCGCTTATATACATAATTTATGACATCGAATTTTATGAGACGAATCAAAAGTTTTGAGCACATTTATTACCTAATTTTTCAAAATTGAGTCAAAGAATGTTTGCTAAGATGCACTCCAAACTTATGGTCGTATACAGGGTTAGTCATTTAACTTGAAATTTTGAAATATCTCAGTTAAGCCTGAATTATAGATTGCCTTCCTTCCTTCCTCCCGTAGAAGATGAACAATACGAAATTTCCTAAACATTTTTGTAATTATCACCATTAACATTTCCCGTGTAAGAATTTTTAATACTTTGTGCCATTTATAGATTCCCGTACCGTAAGGACGGCATTCCTTCCTCCCGTAGACATTTTTCAGTTTTATTTTTCACCGTAAAGGTCTTTGACATGACCAATCACAGTGCTTGTTATGGTCATGCGCTGTAGGGTGACAGCGCGTAGGCACAAAATATTTAAAATTCATGATTGTTTAGTATTATTTAAGATAGGTGTTCAGTTTATTAAATAATTTGTGTCTCTAAATAGGATATTTGGATATTGTTTATGATCAATGTCTTTCATTTTTAGAAACGTTGCTTTGTAAAACCCCGTAGTTTCCCGGTCTTGGTAAAGTGGGCAAGTCTTGTTCGATGTTTTTTTTCCATTATACTGCCCTACTATGGAGAAAGGCAGTAACTAAAAAAAAATTCTAAATGCGTTTTCTTGTGCTATGATAAAGCTATGGACATTTTGTATCTTAATTCAACAAAAAAATGCAGTAACTATCTTATAAGTTAAATAAATCAGTCAAATAGCTACTGCTTTTTATAAAAATGTAGTTTATGCTAATTTCCCACAAATTTCTTGTTTAGCAGTTACTGCCTTTCTCCATAGTTGGGCAGTATACAACAAGCTGCCTGGGCAATTAAAATTGAGATCACTGCACTAATATATAAATGTTTATCTTTCATATTTACACACAATGGGTAAAACGCAGAATATAAACAAAAACAAATGTCAACCATTTTAGGTGTCATCGCGCATGGTTACGGAATTTTACACGGAAATCTATAAATTGGCTTTTTACAAGACGCACAAATCGTACGGGCACGACTACGGGAGGAAGGAAGGCAATCTATAATTCAGTCTTTAGTCTAAAACATTTTTCATATTTGTAATGAAACAAAATCAATTTTGTTCGATTTTTCTTCTTATACGATTCTGCAATAATTTTTCTATAAAAATATAACTTTTTTTGATAATAATTATCTTAGGAAATTAAATCTGATTTTTTAACTAATATTTAAGTTTCCTTTGGTTTAAGTTTTATACATTATTTCATTCGGTCAATTGCGCACCATGGTCACTTTAATTTTAAGGATTACTACAAACGGGAGTGTTCAACCGAAAAAAAAAATCGTCGAATCATTTAATTTTTTTTAACTGAGATATTTCAAAGTTTCAGCTTAAATGTCTCACTCTGTATATTTAAATGTAACGGGTTTTCGATATTAAAAATAATGACCGATTTTATCGATTATTTTTTAATAAAACAATTTTTTGTTTATTATAAGACGTCGCTTGTAGAAATAGAAAATCGTGCCAAAGTAAATATATACAGGGTGTTTGTGAAAGCTCTTTACAAAAACTTACCACGTATTACTTAGTTTTTTTTTAAATATAAATTTCGGTTATTTTACATTGACACGATTTTTATTTCCTTATATTTAGTACTTAATAACTATGCATATTGAAGTACCACATACAGGGTGATCCAAAACTCCTCACAGCATATTATTATGGGAAAAACAAAACCGTTGTGAACATAATCAATTTTACATATGAAATGTGATTTTTAAGTCAACCTGTAAGAGTACGAGTCAGTTAGTATTTATTAATTAATTTATTCATGTGTTCTAAATTAATTATTTCTACTGGGGGGGGCACCTAACCACAGTGGTGGTGGCGAATTCCGAGAACTTTTTGTCTATTGGTGTGCGATCGTCGTATAGCGATGGAGCTTGCAGGATAATTCCTGCAGTTCCCACCAGTACTGCCAACGTAAAAATCCACAGGAACAACCGATCCAATACCATCGCAACGTATTTCCAGTCTTCCTTTACCTACCAAAAAAAATGATGTTTAAGGTCAATTTTATTTTTTAAAAATCGCATTTCTATAACCCATTGCAATATAATCTTAATGGTATAATCCCATAGTTAAAATAAAATTAATAAAAAATCTTTTAAAAAATATAATACCTTTATACTATATAAGTGTCCAGAAATATAATCCCATAGTTAAAATAAAATTAATAAAAAATCTTTTAAAAAATATAATACCTTTATACTATATAAGTGTCCAGAAATATTAAGCGAATTAGTATAGTCCAGGAAACAAAGATTGTAGAAGGAAAAATCGATGGTAGTCGGGTTTAATTTTTGTTTGTGTAAAGTCAGGGGTGCTGATAATGAATCAAGAATATTCCCCAAAAATTTCTTTCCGCGTCCCCTAATTTCATCCCCCGAAAGGGGAGTTTTTTTGCTTTTTGGTTCATAACTCGCTAACCGTGCATTTTTTCAGAATTTGACTTTTTTGTTTTTTTTTTATTATAGCCCAATTTTAAAAGTAATCGATCCCAAACTTTACGGTAATCAAACATAACCGAATGGACAATTTTTGAGGTACTAGACTTTTTTCAAAAGTTACTGCTTTTCAATGTACAGGGGGTTCTTTTTTCAAAACTTTAATTTTTGCGGGGCACTTGCAATGAAAATGAAATGAAATGAAAAAAAACTACGGATTCGTTACGAGGATAAGTGTACCTAAAAATGTAGGGTAGAACGAACTGGCTCATTAAACCCTTTAATATATTATGACGTTTCACTTTGTTTGAGACTTATTGACATGGAAACTAAAAGTGCAACTTTGCGCACGCTAGTAGAATAGTATTCTGTAACAAGTTTGGAATTTAGCATATTCCGCTCGAGTGAAGAGTTTGTCACACGAGCCGAAGGCGAGTTTGACGGTTTCACGAGAGCGGAATATGCAATTCCAAACGTGTTTCAGACTATACTTTTTCTACGTTTCCAAAAAATACCATAGAAAATTAATTTAATTGGAAGAAAGTGAGGTTGGATCGGTCTAAAATTTGTTAGATATTAAAAACAGAGATGTCGCCACGAGTGTTTATTCTGTCATCAGATGATATGATATTTTATTCTGTAACACTTTACGGAATATATGTCATTCTATAGATAAAAGTGATATTAGAACGGTCAAATTCCGTAATAGGAGTACAAAAAAACATTATATTAACCCCGGAGCATTCGCCATTTTTGCAACTATGTCATTTTCTTCTAAATAACGATGAAATAAAATAACACATGCCTAAGCTATGTGACGCCACTGGCATTCGGCTGCCAAAGTTTTTTCTGGGAATCCGCACGTTGTGACTTGAAATAACATTAATTAAAAAAGTTTCACGTTCACTTCAAGTTGTTCGTCGCCCCCTCAAAACTCACTATACGTGGTAATCTGAGTGAATCAAAGAAATTCGTTATTAGAAAACAAAGTTTACACTTCGAATCTGCCCGATTGTTCCAAATTTCGTTTTTAATACATTAAAAAAAAATGAAATTTTTTGACAAAACCACTAAAAACAATATTATTAATCCAAGCAAAAAAGATACAGTGTATTATGTAATATCAAGTAAACTTGAAAACTTATTCAAAATCGGTTAGTAGGTACTATGCACCACACCTCAAAGTCCCACCACGTGTCCACGTACGGAACGCAGTCTTTTGAAAATTTGGCAAAATTCATATTTTTCACAAAAATAAATATATCAAGGTGAACCAAAAATAAAACTGTTAAAAATTGATGTGACTTGATAAATAAAACTTAATTTAGAACAATATACGGTTTTGCCACTCTACAGAGAGTCTTAAACTTATGGTAAAAAACATCTTTTTGTTTAAACCTGTATATTATACACGTAGGTGTATTTTTTAGTAATTTTCAAAATGTGAGCGATTCTCCAGTAATGTATCTACAATATTCTTTAATATTTGTTTAAATCCGAAATTAAATAAAAAAGTTATTTGCGATTGAAATTCATCGAAAATTTGTGTGGATCGATTATTTTGCCTGTGAGTGTATAATGCAAAAATGATAGAGGAAAAACTTTTTTATTTTGTGACCCCCTGTATTTTTTGTCTTTTAATAACTTTTACCTTGGTTGAGTCTTCCAGCATCTTCGTGTGCTCAGCGATGAAGCGTACGCAGAAGCAGGACTTGTGAATTTCGGGCGGGCACTTGGAATGCGAGAAGGCCGGATTGCGCAGGACCGGACTCTTGATGCCGTTGTCCGGCCCTGAATCCGCCACCATCGCGTCCTCGCCGTCCGACTGCGGCATGGCAACAGGGCCGTGGATTTGACAGCTCCCTCCAAACGGACCCCCATCTGCCAAACTAAATCGAGGAAAATTTTTATCAGAAAAATTGTTTTTAATTAAACAATACTTTCCCAAAATATTAATATTTAAAAATTTAAAACTAAAGAAAAAAAATTATTTTTAAAATAGGGTCTTTCCATTTCAAATCGACCAGGAAAAAGAGGTCGTTATTTTTTAACAATTTTTTATTAGTTTCTCTACCAAAATCGATAGGACCCGTATTTTTTTTATTTTTGCTTAAATATGTTTTGTTCGCCCGTAGGAAATTTAAAAAAAAATGGACATATACATCGATTTTTCATTCATTTTGTTTTTAAATTGTATGTAAATGTTTACTACCTTAATACACCTTAATATTTTAAAAATACAATTGTACATAAAATATTTACAAAAAAAATCTATAGTAAGTATACTTACTGAGATATTACACTTGACAGTGTATAGGTTTTTAAATAAACTTAAACTTTTTAATTATAAAACAGCAACACTCTCATCTGCATATAAATTCTAACTGTCCTTCAGGAATCACATGCATCTATAATGTCGTAAACAGAGGTTTTTGCTTATTTAAAATGATTAAAGCGCCATCCGTTGCATAAAATTTAAAGCAAAAACAGATTCACGGAGGATAGAATCAATTTTTGTAACACATACAAATTATTTCTTTTAATTTTTAATATTTGATTCGATTGCTTTGGATGTGTTTAATTTACTTAGTGAACTGATATTTTTAGTATGCTTTTACTACCTCAGATATTTGAAAACATATAGGTTAACCCAGAAAGAGTAACAGTCACGGAGGATAGGTTTTAGACTTTTAAAACATTGTAATAAATAATAATTGCGGTTAAAAATCTGGAACCTGAGCTGTAATATCTACTTAATTATAAAAGATCAAAACACAATAAAAGTGTAGGTTAAACTCATTTAGTTTTATTAAATATCACGGGGTAATTTTTTTTGCCATATTGAAAAACTATTTTTAAAAAATTGAGTAAATTTACATAATTTTTTATATATTTTTTGTGTGTAGTATAACATTTACCCACAATTAAAAAAAAAATTTTGTAACGATCTAAACATTTTTGGCCAAGTTATAGCATTTTCAAGAAAAAATGTCACTCGTTAAAATAGAAAAACCGATGTGTCTGTCCATTAGCAATAAATAAATAGTAATAAATTATAAAAATAATAAAAAATATGAGAAAATAAAATCATACACTTTTAAAAAAATATTTTTCCATCACATCCCTTACATTGGATTATCTTGTAAGCCTCTAAAAGCTTTTATAAACACACGAAAACAATACAAAAATCGCTCAACTCAAAAGATAAAGCAGTTACACGGGCATACCTTCGGGAGACGTCCTCCTTGGAGGGCGTTCGACTCGGCGGGTATCTCCTCTTGGGGCTGCCCTCCCTGTGCACAGTCGTGTGATAAGGGTACAGGCACGCAGACAGCTCCCTTTGTCTCAAAATAAATCTGTTGTTTGACATGAACTTACTGAAACATGCAACGTAACGCGTTCAGCACTTTCTCTCTCCGTTCTCGACTATCGATATTTCAAACTTAACGAGAATGAGTGACACACTCATCAATACACTTAGTGTCAGAAGTCTTACACCCCAAGTATAATATAAAATAACACTAATACAGGGTGTTATGGATTTAATGTTATATATTAAAATGGGTTGTTCCTTAGGGTCCATAAAGAAGCACCTGAAACTTTTTTTTTCTAAATTCCAAAGTCTAAGAATAATTTATAATAACCTTTATCCTACCAAAAAGTACGCCACTGATCGACTAGGAACTTTAGGTTAATCTGGTGGATTTATTATGTTATGGTTGGTAACAACAGTGTTTCCAAAATCTTTCAAAAAAGTTGACAAACATTGTTTAAATTTAGCTTAATTACAAAAATGACAAAATTAACAATGCAAATTGTCAATTTGGCCTTTTAATTAATTGTTTGTTATGTCATTTTTGTACTGAAGGTAACTTCAAACAAAATCTGCCAACTTTTATGACAGAATCTAGTGCATTTCTTTCAAATTTTAGGTTATGTGCTCAAATTGTAAATATCTTAACTAAGGGAAGTGCTTTTGGATTTATTTACACAAATTAAATGTTTAAAGTTTTACCTGTGAACTGGTCCCAATTTCATCTGAGTAAACAGAGAAAAAAACTGATGAAAAAATTAATTTTGTGGTTATTGATTTCAAATTTCAAAGGTACTAAATTTTCTAATTAATTTTCTTAAGCTAATAGCTGGATCAGTAAATAAATACAGAAAGGTATTAGAGCTTTAAGGGCATAAAACTTTTGTATTTATTAAGTTTTTATTTATTTTTTGCAAGAAAAATTTTAAGTAACAATTTTTTACATCTGGAAACGCATAGCTACTTTGTTGGTTGGTATATATGTACTCACAAAATACAGGTGTGCAGAGATAAACAAGTGTGTAACCAGTGGCGTATCACAATAAATAAAACTTCTAATGCATATTTTTTCTTTATCTTTGGAAAAATGCTTTTTAAAATATTTTTCCTTTATTCCTTATGTCAAAAGGTATTCAGTATTTTAATATATAACATTAATTACATAACACCCTGTATAGTTCGATTTACTAACATTGAGTAGGTACTATGCTCCACACATTAAAGTCCCACCACGTGACCACGTACGGAACGCAGTCTTTTGAAAATTTGGCATTTAAGGCTTTTCAGGTTATGTATCTGTCAAAGTATAGTCAACGAAAGAAATAATATTACATTTAGGCGTTAAAAATGTATAAATCTTTATATTAGAATAACAATGGATGGTTTAAGAATTTAAGAATATAAATACTGCATTTAATGGAATTCTAAAGTGTATGGTGCTAAATAAGTAATATTTTTGTGCATTTGGTCCAAATATCTGGTTTTTCCCATAAAATAATTTTAACTAAACAGCATTTATTAAAAAGAATCTGGCTTCTCTATTATGGAATAAGAATATCTGTTTTAAAGGTAGGTTAATATATTATAACAAAAATATTATCTAATTTTGTAATTTTAAGGTTAGAAAAATTTATTTTTACCAAAATAAATAAGTATTTTGGGTTATTTAAATGCCTGTATAATATGGTATTTAAAAATGTGGTAGTTTTTCTTATCCAGCTTAAAGTGTACCTACATAAAGTTTTGTCAATACAAATACTGAACTTGATCTACATCGAAAAATCATTATAACTTTAAAAATTTTAATAAAACATATAAATATTTTCACATTGCAAGTTTCTCTAAAAATTGTTCGTTTTCTTATAATCTAACTTAAAGTAGGTATGCCGAGAGGTATGCACAAGTTTTGTGCATTAGAAGTATAAAAGCTTCATTTTAATTTGAACCATATTCAACAATTATTTAGTATACCTATATTTATTTATGACCACACACTCTTCCAAATTATCAACTTATTTATTTTGGTCAAAATAGATTTTTATAACTTTAAAATACAAAATTAGATGATATTTGTTGTTCTAATACATTAACCTACCTTTGATACAGATATTCTTATTTCATAATAGAGAAGTTAGATTTTTTTTAATAAATGCTGTTAGTTAAAACTATTTTATGGAGAAATGTAGACCCAATGCACAAAAATATATCAATTATATTGCACCTTACACTTTGGAATTTCATTTAATGCAGTATTTATATTCCTAAACTCTTAAACCAACCATTGTTATTGTGATATTATAAAGATTTATTAACTTTTAACGCTTAAACATAAGCGGTAACACTATAAATATTATTTATTTCATTGACTATACTTTAACAGATATATAACCTGAAAAGCCTTAAATGCCAAATTTTCAAAAGATTACGTTCCGTACGTGGTCACGTGGTGGGACTTTGAGGTGTGGAGCATAGTACATTTTTCTGAGTGTGTATAAATTATAAGAATATTATTATTACATTTTCGACTTACCTATTAGTTTCAAAGACATACTGGGGCCTTTTCATGACCAGTAATCTGGGCAATATGTGTATAAAAACTCGTTTGACCCATGGCGACATCCTGTGAGTTTGAGGTGATCTAAAGTGGACATTAAGTACCACCACAGTAACACAAATACTGAAAAATTACCAAATTTTAGTTTAAATAAAAACCTTTTGATGCAGATATTTTAATTGCTAAAAACTATGAATTAGACTTGAATCAAGAATTCCACTAATTAAAAACAAACATAACATTTAACTTCAGAAACCGTAATTTAAAAAGTAATGAAACCATTAATAAATTAGGAAACTTTCTCAAAGCAGGAAAAAATATTTTCGTAATGTAAAGAAAGAAAAGTAAAATATTACGTTTTTAACGAGAATTCTTTGCTCACCTAATGGAAACTAAAATCATGGCAAATATTAAATATTTGCCTAGAAGCGGGACCACCAGCGAAGTAGGCGGAATAATTTCCACAACCAACAAGAAAAACACGTGGAGACTGATAAGAATCGAAATTGACAGAGTCACCTGAAATTAAGAAATACAATTATTCACATGTAAACTCTCAAATGTTGTTATTATTGGGTCGTTTTCAAAAAACACCTGCCTTCCGCTGTCCGTAAGTTTGAATTCCAATAACTTTGTTAAAAATTATTGGATCTTATTGATTTAAAAACCAAGTGATAGCCCAACAAGCCCTTAGTAAACCCTTTCAGAAAATGTTTGTTTAGTTATTTCAGAATAATTTTTTTTAATGTTGAAACTTGTGAATCACACATTTTCGCATGTCCCATTAGCGTTTTATAAAACTTACATAGATATTTTTTTTTTAAATATTGAATAACCAGAACTTTGTGTAGCTTTATAGCAATCCATAACATCCTTAGTTAATACAGGAAACAATTTATAGGTATATAAAATAATTAATTTTAATGTACTTTTTTTAAATTTGACTCATGTCCCAGACATTTTTTCCGCTACGGTATGTCCGTCGCGTTACCGAGAGAATATTTAAAAAAACATATATATGGCAACTTTTTTGGCACTCACGTGATCAACAAATGATGTTCGGACGTACACATTACCCAGCTGAATTTATTTATTCAATCAGAAAGAAGATATCGGTTGAAACAGGTGCGGGTAACGCGAATGTAATAATTGTTTGTCCGCTAAGTTACTCAAAAAAATAATAAAAAAAAGGTAAGAAAAAATACTATTTTTCATGTTTATGTTTATTTTAGGGCACTAAAGCTCATTGAGAGTAATTAATGACTGTAATGTTTTATTCTTATTTTTTAAATATGGTTTCACAAAACTTTGTCCACTGCGTTACCGAGTCCATTACGTTACCTTATGGTAACGCAATGGAAATTAGGGTAACGCAATAGAATTTTTCGACAACAAAGTGGATATTTACCGTCGCTTTTATTAAAAGTAGTTTATGATAAACCAATTTAAAATTATTTGAAATTACAATTCATGATATAGATTACATCCAAGGGAAAATTCCACGCAATATACAAGTACTAAAAGACAAGGAATTTTGTTTATGCATTACTCTAAAATCGTACCACCCTTTATAGTTTTTTTTACGTTATCATTTTCCTGAAAGCGGGTGTTTCTTGAAAATGACCCTATTATTAAATTATTAAAAGTAGAAAGTTCCCAAGTAGCAAAACAGGTTAAATTAACGTTAAATGTACGTTATTTACAGCTAACTATGGTTTCGCGTAAAAATCGAACAAATTTTGGACATTTGTTTGCAAGTGATGCCACAATTGAATATATTTTTTAAACCTGGTTTTTACATCTAAATCGTACATTAAAAAAAAAAAAAAAATCATCCATTGACCGCTGTGGTTTTCAGGCCTTAAGTCACTCTACTGTGTTAAAAATAGATAAATTTCGATATTTAACTATTTAATACTTTTGTAATTTTGTATTACGATTATAAAATAATTTTCACATTTAGTATTATTTTACAAGAAAGGCACTTTACTTTAACGATTGAATGACATTTGACAACTGTCAACTAACTTAAAACTAACTTCGGCCTGTGACTAAAAACCTGTGCCTGTGACTAAAGCGCCATAAAGCCACAACTTGTCAATGTGTATTTAAAAGGTCACTTAGTGTCATGGAAACATGTACGATAAAGGGCGTTTTAAAGGTGGGAGTAGAAAAAATTAACTAAAATATTTCATTGAAAAATTAATACCCCAAAAAATATTGACTTTAGGTATAGGATATGATATAGCCATTTTACTCAGAATTTTATGTAGAATTAAAAAATGTAAAAATATATCAGGTGTCCTATTTAAAATAACAAAGTTAAAAACTTCTTCGGTAAAACAGGAAGTATTATTTTGTTCAAATTAATTTAGGAAAAAAGTCTAAATCGAATAATTTACGCTCTTAAAATTTTAAATCGATGTCTTTCGCGATTCCCTGAAAACTTCTAACGGACTACGTACACCCTGTATATTAAACGTTATTTATGTTTTATGCTATAGTTAATTAATAATAAAAGATACAACAATATTTGTATAAATAATAGTCAAATATCAATACTTTAACGTGTTATACTCAAATTTATAAAACAAAGTTGCTTCTTCGATTATTTACCCTTTAAAAGTTGTTAAATCTTAAACTAAATTATCACCCCCTTGTACGTTAAATTCATGGATTAATTGTCATTAGTAAGATCTACATTTTGTCCAAATTTCAAATCGATTCGTTTTGAAATAAAAAAGTTATTTAAAAAAAAGAAATTTCTTCATTTTTAACACAGTGAAGAAAAAAATAAAAATAAAAACAAAGTTGTCAATGGACGAGATTTTTTTTTTAAAGTACTGCATTTAGTTGTAGAAATAAGGTAAAAAAAAGTTTCAATCGATTTCTTGAATCCTTGCAAATCGACCGTTCGATCCTTTCGCGAAACCGTAGTTAAAAGTTAAACTAAACCAAAATAAGTCTAAAAAATAACTAGTCTTAACCATTTTCAAAGGTTAAAATAAGAAGGTAATATAACGTTATGTAACTTCTAAAATAACCTACTTACTAACTAGTTAAATATTTGGTTTCTCTTCTTTTATTAGTTAAATTATACTAACAAATAAACTTTAAATTTACCTTGAGGTTAAAACAATTGGTCAAGATTATTTGTAGTTGTCTAGTTCATAATCAATTACTTTATCGTGGAGTGTTGCCAATAGTTGTAATAGATTTACAAAATAATAAGAAAATATATTATAGTATTAACATTAAATGGACCTAATTATATTATAATTAGCAGAATAATCATTTCTTTTACGTGCTTAATAAAAAACACCTCGAGCTAGTTAAAAACCCATCGAGTTCTTTTGATCGTTTTTAAATTTCTCCAGTCTTTTCAGCCGACTCGAGAAGCAAGTTTTGCAAATCACTGTGAAATAATGAATCAAAGAGGCAACTCAAAGTAATTTAAACAGTCGTTTGGACAAACACTTTGTTCGTTTAAAACATTTTTTAATTTGATTATTCGAGATCGTTTCTGTTGAATTCATCAAGTTCCACCAGATATAACATAATGAGGGACGGGACGTCTTGACACAACTCTGAAAATGAGAATTCAGCAAAAAACCGAAACGACGCACTGTAGTCCCAAGCAGCATTTTAAGTTTAAATAACTAAAATTTACTACCAAGTTAAATTTAAAGTATTTTTTACGGTTAACCAAAACGGTTTTATAACGGTATACACGGAGAGAAAAGTATAATGCTATTACCATCATTATAATACCCTTTACTATAATTTATAATACTATTTGGGACAACTATCTTGTATATTGCCAGATACTATGCATATTTAGTAATTTTTAAATATACATGTATGTTAAACCTTAAGGTAAAATATTATTATTCTCAACCAATTTTGTTTTTAATTCTTATTATAATTAGATTTGGTATAGTAAATTTTAAAATATTATGTTGCCATTTTAAATATAAAATATTTTAAAATCGAATATTTTTATATGTTAACAATTAAAAATTGTAACATATTTATTGTACTTTTTAATATACAAAAATGTTATGAGAAAGAATTGAACCTACACCTCGCCAAAGTTTTTTGTTTTGAGTGCGTTCCATCAACTTCAAATACCGACAGACAGGTGTTTTGACCTATATTGGGTATAATCAGTGTCGACACGACACTGTCGAGCAACTTGTAGTAGTGGAACACACCCAAAACAAAGAAATACCTGAGCTTATATAACATGGTTGGTAAGCCCACAGAGGCGAGATGTAAGAACATCACGTGATCCACACCGTCTAACGACGCGTCGCGACGTGGCCTTTGCCGCAATCGGTACATACTATAGTATACCAAGTAGGTTCAATTCGTTCTTATAAGTATTACCAGTAATGGGTCAAGAAAGTTTATTGAAGAAACTAAGAAAATTGAATGTTTAAAATGTCATGAGTTACTATATTGTATATTATATTTAAAGATATTGTTTATTTACCTTAAACATAAAAGTACATTTATTTTTACTAAATTTTTTTATTGTGTAATATGTGTAATATATTATAATATTAGATGTACACCATACATTTGATTAAATCATATAGTAAATATTACTATTTGTAGATAGTAAAATCAATTTACTTTACGAACATATTAAAAAATATATTATACATTTATGATTTAGTAATATTGGTGTTGTAATCTTTACTAAAATTGTATAATAAAAAATAGTATTTTGTATTACAATCTTAATATTGTATTGACGAAAATATAATATTGTTATCCTAAAAATTTGTTAAAGTAAATTTTACTATATATTTTTACTATCTAAAATTTACTATACATTTCTCTCCGTGTAGATACGTAAAATAACCAAATTTTGGAAATGGTTTATTTCTTATTTTCCCTACATAATAACCTTTTTGATCTACTAAGAGAATAACGTAATAAAAACAATATAAATACCACAAATGTACGTAAAAATAACGCTATAATCTCTTTCAAAAACTTTGACATTCGTAATTTCTTTGTTCTTTTAATTTATATTTTACAAAATGGTACTTACAAAGTAATAGAGTAAAATTAAAAAATATAACTTTATTTGTCAAAACTTATATTATTTTGCATTAAAACTCAAACGCACATTATTTTATTGATAAAAATAGACACTATACATCTTAAAAATTATATGCCCTCTAAATATTTTACGGTTTTAAGTAAAATTATTGCTTGGTTAAAAATTCAACATAACTTAAAACCTACAAAATTTTAAAAAATCTTTTAAAAATCATTTAGTTTTAATCATATTTTAATAACTAAAACTTTCTTTATTATATAAGATAAGTAATGGATGCCATCTTAAACATTATGGCGACCTGAAAAAAGGTTTATTTTTCACTTTAGGCTTATTTTTCCTTATTTAGTATTTATTACCACTAATAACCCTAAAAAATACCAAGCGAATAGGAATTATTTACGGTGTTAAAAAAAGGGTTATTAAAATAGGTAAAATAAGATAAATA